TAAGACAACTTTCCAAGCCCTATTGTCCAGAGATTTTAGAAAGGCCACCATATTTGGTTTCTAATAGTCATAATTGCTTCCATCCAGAATGGATGGTATATTCACAAATCCTCCTTCCTTGTCTATAGTACCAGAAAGTATCTTTCCTAGTCTCACCCAAATACAGAGCATGATGCCTACTCTGATACCAATTGAAATTCTGGTATCAGATATGTGATGACGAAGGAGATGTCACGACACAAATATCTGAGGACAATATAAAATACAACAATATTAAAAGCAGTAAAAACACAAGGGATTGTTAACCGAGTTCGGTGTACAACAATACCTACTCTGGGGGCTACCAAGTCAGAGACAAGTCCACTAAATAGTATTAATTCATAGACCCTCAATAAACAACCAGTTTATGATCTAATCACTTAATCACTACTCATACTATACTTCTATCTAAGACACACCTAGGTATGAGGTCCTCCTCAAATCCCTCCAATCACTAATAGTGAAAAACAACAGAATTATCAAGTTTGAAAAACCTCAATCATTCAATACTTAAAAGCTTATGAATGATCCATAATGTACAACTCAAATTACAACTCAATTATTGAAACAATACTAGAGTGTATTACAATTAAAAGATTCAGATTTCTAAAACACACAGAGTATATTTTTCTTTTTTGTTGCAGTTGTACGAATAAGAATGCAAGTCCTTATAAAGGCACGTCAACTTCTTTATGGGCTTGGGCTGAAAAACTAATATTGCAATATATTGAATCCCTTGAATATCTCTATGAAAGTAGGCCAAGATATAATTCATAAAGATGAGATAGATCGAAAAATATTCTTCCATATTTTTCGCAAGATATAAACAACAAAACCTGAATAAGGCGCACTTAAAAAAAAGAAACAAAAAATCTGAAAACACGCTCAGATCAGCAGGCAGATGTTAAGACATCTTCTTTGACATCATTCAAAATCAATTGAGATGATTTACTTCAAATTTCAAGACATTAAGCAAAATATTACCAAAGCAGTATTTTACCAAAATTACTGCCAACAAACACTTACAGGAGGTAACAAATACTTTGTTATATTTATAGATGATTTTAATCGAAAACTGTGGACTTACCTGATTAAGAAGAAAAGTGAAGTGATAAAGGTATTTTCCAAGTTTAAGTCTATGGTCGAAAGACAGTGGTCGATAGCTCAAATTTTTAAGAACTTATGGTTGTGGAGAGTATGTGTCGAAAGTCTTCAACAAGTTATGTGAAAAAGAAGGGATTGTGCATGAGGTGGTGCCACCCTACACTCCACAGTAGAATGGAACTGTAGAAAGAAAGAATCAAACCATCATGAATATGGTGAGAAGTATGTTGAAAAACAAGCATTTACCTAAAGAATTTTGGGGTGAAGCTGTGTCGACTGTAACATATATTTTGAGCAGATGTCCTATGAAGAAGCTAGAAGGAATTACTCCAGAAGAATCTTGGTCTGGTACGAAGCCTAGCTTGAGTCATCTGAAGGTATTTGGATCTATTGCACATAGACATATGTCAGATTAGTTGAGAAGAAAACTTGATGACAAGTCGAGTAAAATTATTCTAGTTGGATATCATTCGATAGGAGGTTACAAGTTATTCGATCCAGTGAACAAGCAAATTATTATCAACAGGGACATGATCATAGATGAGCTTATAGAATGGGATTGAATTGAAAATGTCAAGAAAGATTCAGTAGGAATCCTACTTGAAGAACCATAAACTCAAGTCGAAAGAGAAGTTCGACATGAGGAACCAGTAGTTATAGATCAACCAAGTACAAATACATATCAAAGAATAAGACGCATGCCTGCAAGGTTTCAAGAATGTGTGATTACATCCGATGATGTGGTTGATAATGAAGGTGAGTTGGTACATTATGTTTTCTATGCATATGTCGAACCAGTCAATGCAGCTGAAGCATTGAAGGATTCGAAGTGGGTGAAAGCAATGAACGAAGAAGTGAAGTCCATCGAAGACAACAACACTTGGTCACTTGTCGAATTTCCTCAAGGCAAGAAGGCAATTGATGTCAAATGGGTATACAAAGTGAAGATGAATCCCAAAGGGGAAGTAACTCGACACAAAACAAGGCTTGTGGCAAAATGATTTCTACAGAAAGAAGGAATAGACTTCGATGAAGTTTTTGCACCTAATGCTAGGATTGAAACAATCAGGTTGATTGTTGGTCTAGCAGAAATAAATAGTTGACACATATGTCAGATGGATGTGAAGTGTGCATTCCTTAATGGACCCTTAGACGAAGAAGTTGATGTTAAACAACCAGTTGGGTTTGTGAAACATGACGAAGAGAGAAAGGTGTACAGGCTGCATAAAGCCCTGTATAGATTGAAACAAGTTCCAAGAGCTTGGAATAAGAATATTGATAGTTTCTTAAGGGAGAAGGAATTTGTGAAGTGCACAACTGAACATAGAGTATATGTAAGAAGAAACAATAATGAATTGCTTATACTATGTCTCTATATTGATGACTTGTTAATAACAGGTAGCTGCAAGAAGGAGATCGAAGACTTTAAAGGTGATCTCAGGAAGAAATTCGAAATATCAGATTTGGGTGACATTTCATACTTCCTTGACATCGAATTATATAAGAGTAGTAGAGGTTTGATGATGCATCAAAGAAGATATGCAGGAGAAATTCTCAATAGATTTGAGATGAAAGAATGTAACTCGACTTCGACACATGCAGAACCAAGGTTGTAACAGTCGAAAAATGCAGAAGAAGATGATGTCGACTCAACCCAATACAGAAGACTTATTGGATCACTAAGATACCTTTGTCACACAAGGCCTGACTTAGCATACATTGTAGGTATGGTAAGTAGATTCATGCAGAAGCCAAAGGTATCACATCTAGCAGCAGTGAAGAGGATACTAAGGTATCTCAAAAGAACTCTCAATTATGATATTTTGTTTCCTGCGGCTGATAAAGAAAAAGAATGCAAGTTAGTAGGATACACTGATTCGAGTTGGTGTAGTAATACCGAGGATCGAAAATCTACAGCAGGATATGTGTTTATGCTAGGTGGTGCATCAATTGCTTGGAGTTCGAGAAAGGAACCAGTAGTGACATTATCATCATGCGAAACAGAATACATAGTTGTTTCTCTTTGTGCATGTCAGGCAACTTGGATGGTGAATTTGATCGAAGAGATAACAAGGAAAGATCATGGAACAATTACCATGAAGGTCGACAGCATGTCAACTATCAATCTGACGAAGAATCTGATAGCTCACGATCGAAGAAAGCACATCGAAATGAAGTTCCACTATCTACAAGAGCAGGTAGCAGATGGGAAAATGAACTTAGAACACTGCAGAACTGAGAATTAGATTGCAGACATCATGACGAAGGGTGTGCAAGTCGAAGTATTTTGAAGACTAAGAGTTATGATGAATATAGATAGCTTAGACATGATGAATTAAGTGGTGTGTTGAAAGTAATTCCTTGTATCGAAGTAGTTTGCTTGACAAAGACAAGAGAATGTCGAAAAGATTTGATTTGATTTATAAATGTGGAAACAGTTTGTTACACACAAATTTGTTTTAGATTTGGATAAATTTGATTTAGATCTAAAATAGATATATTTGATTTAGTTTCAAAATAGGTATTTTATGCTTTTGTAGTTTTGAGCTTTGATTTATGGAACAAACTAACCTAAAATTATAAATAGAGGGAGTAACTCCTATTTTTGTAATCAAGTCAATCAAGTTGTATTCACAGAATTTGCAGTTAGAGTTACTCTGCAAAAATCCTAAATCTCTTTTCTTCTTTAATTTTCTTTTTTTTCATTGTCATTGTGAATAGTGATAACAATCTTATTCATCAAGATTGACAAAAATTCATCATAGATCTTGATAGATTTTCAACAAGGACATATTAGTGGCACAGTGGTGATTGCACAAATGTTGTTTGTTAAGAACTAAATTTAGAAGAAAGATTTTGTATTTGAAGAAAGATTTTGTCGACGACATAATGTATTGGGAAATGGGAGGAGTTGTTTCTAAACAAATATTGTTTATAGTGGAGATTTAGCTTCAGTAACAGAGAAATAAATATGATGTGAGTTATGAATTTTTCACTCATATAATTAATGGAGAGTAACTATGGAGAAAAATAAGGAAATCAACATTAAATTTAGAAAGATAAAAGATATGTCTTAGATGGTGAGTAAACCTATTAAAAGAAAATTAAAACATGATTAAAAGAAAAACGATAAACATCATTATATAATGATTGTATGAATGAGTTATAGAAAAAAATTCTAAAGTGTGTTTTAGAGGTGCCACCTAAGATTTTTAATTTAGAATACATGGCAAAAAATTGATGATGTGGCATTGATACAGAAATACTCTATTTTTCTGCAAATTTTAGTTAAAATTTCTTTTCCTTCCGTTTGAATTCTCCAGCTAAAACCTTCGTGAGTACCCGCAGTGAGTATCCGCTGGAACCAAAATTCAGGTAATATATTTTAAAATAAAAATAAAAACTAAATTTAATATATTAAAATTAAAAAAAAAAAAAACTAAATTTAATTAAATCTGCAGTAATTACTTTCGACAAGTAAATCCGCAGGCAATATATTTTGAAATTTATAAAACAATTTAACTAAATTTAATTAATAAATTGAGACTTTCATTTTTCTATGCAATAATTTATGAATGCTCTTGAATTCATATAAAAGTCAGTATCACAACATATAAATCCTATGGGACTTAGTTTCAGTTCATTTGGGCTCCATTGCTATAAATGCTATAAGCTCTTACAAAGTATTCTTATATTAGGGTCATTTTAAAAAAATATGATGGGCATGTAATTCATAGAACAGTTAGTCTACTCCAGATTACTAAGTATATATTTGAGCCTTGAAAGACTGAAATTGAAATTGGGAGGTTCCATTGGTAACCAAACAAGATCAATTCTGAACCATCTCGTCCAAAGTCTCATTGAGGAAAATTCTGATGGTCGACCTGTGATAAAGTTTGAAATGCAATTTGCATCAAAATGACATGATAGTATTTTGTGAGTATTTTTATTTAAATTATAGATTTTGAAATAAAATGGATACATATCAGTTTCACACATAAGCATATAATTAACAGCAGTAACAACTTCAATTTTCTTAAAAGTTTGGTGGTATACACCACTCTTTCTGATGTAACATATCATGATCTATACTACTAGTTAGACAACAACAAAGTACGGATGATTCTTAGTTGAATTAACTAATGAGCTTCATGACACATAGGCCATAACTAGTAATAATGAACCCTGTGACACGAAATGGTTCCTATTGGCATAATATATTAGAATATCTTTTTCTTTATGAAATCTAAAACATAACCTTATTGGCTGGTTTAAATGATGGATAGGCCATAACTGGTTTATAGTTATGAAACTCTCAATAAGGATAAACACTTTTAAAGTAACATTCATGATTCGTGTACTATTCCTGATAACACTAATACAGAATTGGTAAAAGAATGATCTAATACTACCAAATCATAATCCAGGACTTAAACAATCCAACAAGAGATCAGGATGAGTTACCTGTTCCCTTCTTTTCAGTTCAGCCTCTCTAGCTTGAAGTTCTTTTTCCCTTGCTTTGAGTTCCTAAAATTAACAAAATATGTAATTAAATTTTTGTCTGCAACAATACTTTAATATCATAACTTTGACATTTACTTCCACATTTTGATAATTCAGTCTCTACCTTTGGCATATGAAGAGGAATGTTAACAGTTGCAGGGGAAACACTTCCTGGGTTCTGTAAAATTATTAAGGGTAAGTAATGTAGGAATGTAATAGTTAATGAAAGATAAAGAAGATACCAAGATTTAATTTAATTACACAAGGGGGATAAATGTAAACAAATAACAACTTCAACTCGTCTAGTTTTAGATATTATTAGAGTTTAAGATCGTTAAAACATGTTGCTGCATCCATTGTCATGATATGATTAAATAGTGTTGTAAGTTGAGATATACAATGATAGAAGTGAGATGAACAAGAGAGCTTACAGTAGTGTAGAATGCCCCTCCACCATAATTTGGTTGCCCTGAAGCTTTTCCTTTAGCACCTCCATCCTAACATTGTTAATTAAAATGCAAAATTAAGAGACTCTAAAAACAAGAAATCAACTATGAACACCATACTCCAACACGGACACAGACATGATACGGATTCAATGACACAGATAATGTAAAAAACACATGATACATGATACCAACGCCGCTTCATATATGGTAGTTTTCGACTTTTCATTTATGCATCCAATATTTGAAGAGTTAATAGCACAAATCATGTTTGAGTTAATTATTACATACAAAAAATACAAAAACAATAGACTTATTTCACTAACAGAAGTGGATTATATGAATCAAATTGAGTTATAATGTTTTATTAAAAATCATACATCTATCTTATTCATTAGTATTTAAGATATTTCATTTCATCTATCCATGTTTTCTCTGTACATATGCTAAAACCAGTCTAGTTTTCATGGTCTTCTACTCTAAAATAACACAATTAAAAAAAAGTATGAGTACATAGTTACATTGAATACGATACAACCACCCACCTCACACATGTACGAATCCATGAATAAATCAAATTCTTCTAAATGCTTGCTCATAGATGCAAATAAGACTGCTAACAATTTTAAACGTATAGAGTTTCATGCTTACATGCTCAAAATATGACCTCCAGCCTCCAGAAGGGTAATTTTAAATAAATCTTTTACCCCGGGATATAATTTGACCAAATCCTCACTGACAAAATCATGAAGTGCGGCTCGAACTCCACTCCAATCGGACCACTTCAAACTATAGAAAAATGAAGAATTCTCTTTTTTTCTTCATCACTTTCACTAGATAAAGTGGAAATTTCTTTTTAAATACAAATGCTATTGATAAAGTGGACAAAAGTTTGTATCATTGACGGATACAGTCACCAACTCACTATTATGACACCATTATCAACTTTTACAGCAAATTTAAAACTTATTTAATGCAATAGAGATTAAGATCCCAAAGAGAGAAATTACATCATAACCAAAAACGCTGAAGTTTGATTTAACCAAATGAGTTGCCATGCCAAATCCCATAGCTCCAAGACCAATAAAACCAACCCGAGTCCCACTTTTAGAAGAAGTAATGACTTCAGATGCAAGTTTCTCAGGGTTATATGCCTTTTCATTTGCCGCATCTGAAACTTTCACTCCATAAACATTGTCCCAAATACATGGATATTATAAATACAATCACAAAGAACTATGGTTACCATAATTACATGATAATATAAAAAGAAAAAATCAGCCCATAATGTTTCGATTTACTTTATTTGTAACAGTAAAGAAAAGACACTACAGCCTCAGAAAATAGTAACTTCTGATTGAAATACTCGAACAGATGAATAAGAAATTAACCTTAATTAATGTTGTGTCACCACCATCTTCAGAGCAAACATGTGAAACCCCTGAAAAAATGAATTCGCTAAACTATGTCTGCTGCAGATGGGGTGCTTTTTGTAAACTTGACAGCAAATGCGTACTACATAGTTTACTAGAATTCGTACCATGAATAAGTTGGTGAGTCGTCGCCAAAAGTAGAAGTGGAAAGTAAGTGTAAAGGAAAACCTGTTGTCTTTCCAGAAAGATGCATGATCCAACTCCGGAACAACAAGAGTAGCATTCAAAATATAGGCAGCCACAACAACATCAATTATCTGCAGCCACATTATATGTCATTCAAATTTGTATCACCAATCATTCATCAAATTCGATCATGAAAATCCTAATTGAGGTTTTTAGCCGAACGGCACACACAAAATCTGTATATCAAATTACCAATTTTTCTATTCAACAAACTCCATTGCCAAACCATGATTGTTGAGTTTTTGTTAGAGACATTTCAACCCTTACATATTTTGCTAATTACACGAAGCATGTTTATGGTATAATAAAGTTAAAGCATATTATATATTTCAGGTGGCAGTATAAATAAAAGAAAAACCCTCCTGTTTATAATACTTTGAGTGCAATTATGTTTACTAATGGAAAAAGTGAAAGAACTATCCATGCTTAAAAACAAAAAACTGGTTACATGCAGAAAGAGGTACATAATCTACTTAATAAGTTAATTTCATTGAACTTCTATATACTAATTAAAAGAATTGCTTAAACAAACCAATACCACAGTTGATTAAGAAAGAAGCTTAGCTTACCCCCGTTCTTTGTTGATTTAAGCCTCCACTGGTTACAATTAACACATACCGATCCAGATGATTCTGCAAGAATTTGAAATATAAATTAACATACTCAATCAAAAACAATTCAATATAGGAATTACAATTTGAAGTCCAAAATCAAAATCATGAAAGAACTAAAAAGCACTAGAATGAACTTTACTTGCAAAGTTGATACCGGCATTACTACAGCCAGAGAAAAGCTGCGAGTTCGTCGAATTCCATAAATCATGCCTGTAACTATCTCCACTAGCCTTTCAAATTCAACGAACAAAAATAAAAAATCAGTAAAGTAAATATAAAAAGCAGAAAGAAACTGAGAATCGCGTTTGAATGAATAATAAATTACTGGAACATAAAACTTCGATTGATGATTCAAAAGCACACGAGACCTAACCAGGTTATTCTCCTAAATCAGATACACAATCGAAGTCACACACGGCACAATCATTGATTTTAAACGAAAAACTATAACGTAATTGAAGTTAAAGGATAATTAAGCACATAGCGGGAGCATTGAAAACAGCAAAAGAACGCAAAGCACGAAACAGTAATAACGACGATAGTTCTCTGCTAATTCGCAAACCAGCCTGAGCATAATCATCAATAGCTACTAAGAAACACAACAGCAACAAATCAAAAGTAAAGTAGAAGCAAAAAAGAAGAAAAAATTCGGATTAGGCATTTTATCGAATACCTTGTGAGCAAGATCAAAAGTTGCATTTTCTTCTCCTCGTTGCTTCAACGGTAAAATCAATATAGAGGAGAAAGACGAAAATAGCCTTCCCGTGGATCCATATAAGCCAAAACTTTCCCAACTAAACAGATTTTTTAGAATGAAATAATTAAAATAAGTAAAGTATTTTAAAAATAAAGATCTCTAGATACTTATTACTCTTTTTTTTTTATTTTTTAAATATTGAATTCCATAGCTGAGAAATCCTTATTGTTTTCCAAAATACTTATTTTCAATGAAATTCCACCACCATATATACTAGTACACATTTATATATAACAATATTATTTTGATTAAATTTAATCTATATTAAGAAAGTAATAATAAATTTGATTGTCTTGTTTTTATAATATTATTTCTTTTTTTTTTAAATTATGATATTTGATTATGTATTATTACATTCTTTTAATTTTTAATTTTTAGAATTTTTTTTCAATAATTATAAAGTATTTAAAAATATGTATTAAATAAAATATATATATATATATATATATATATATATATATATATATATATATATATATATATATATATATATATATATATATATATATATATATATATATATATATATATATATATATATATATATATATATATATATATATATATATATATATATATATATATATATATATATATATATATATATATATATATATATATATATATATATATATATATGCACTATTTTTTTTAAATAACTATAAAACAAATTCAGTTGACCAAGTTGACACCTAATTTAAATTTAAAGTTTTTTGAAATAATTTAACATCTTTAAAAATTATTTTTTAAATTGAAAAAAATATTTATAAATTTTATAAATAAAATCCAGAGCAAAATCTACAGAAATATTTCCTATAGAATTACTGATCGATTTTATAATGTAACTTAATTTTAATACAAAACGTAATTTCCGCAGAAAAATCCACAGATATATTTATGAAATTTGCTACAAAAATATGTTCTGCAAGAAAAATTAATATAATTGCAGAAAATCCACGGATATCTCTACAAATTTATTTCCGAAAAAAATAGAACATTCCTCTTAACGATAAAATTTGTGCATGGCGTTAATAAATTAATAAATAGATAGATTATAATCTTTTCAAAAATTAGTCCAATAATTTTAAAAATAATTAAGTCAACTATCTCTTGACTTTTTTCTTTTATTGAGAGATGTTGGTTGAGATTTTCAACTCTTCAAATGAATTTTCAACTCTCATTGTCTTAAAATAATTGTCATATTGATAAATTTATTTGTTTTGAAATAATTGTTATTTTTAATTTTCTATGCAATTTTAATTTTAACTTTCAATTCTATCCTTTAATTAATACTCTCTATTTATTATTCTTTCACTATATATTTATGATAATTTGAATACATCGATAATAAATAAAGATAGTTTGATAAAAATATTATTCTCTCTTTCATTTATCACATTTTCTTAATCTATGTTAAATAACCAACTATACAATTATTTTGGAAAAAAAGTGTATCTATTTAATATCTATCTATTAAAATCTAAGACGTTGGAAATCACCACTAAACTCATCTTTAACAAAGTTTATTTTAACTAAATTTTAAGGATATTTTGGACTATGCAATTTTTCCTTGCTTTAAAGAAAGCTTGCATTAAATTTTGCCGAGATGTTATTTTCTAATGTATTTTCTAGTTAAAAAGTTATGCAGAATATGCAATGACACTGTTTCCAGTGATTTCTGGTAAACAACCGCTAGTCTTCCAAACTATCGAATAATCTTTCTGACTGTTATTCAATTCCTCTGGTAACTCACATGATCGACTAGATTGATCCTATGACTCCTTGGACATTAAGGTTACTCTCACGATCGAACAGATATTCATGGTTGATATTGTATATGTGTTTGGCTTATTTCGATTTCTCTCTCTAAAAGTCTAAAGATGTAATCAAAGTGTGTGTGTGAAAACTAAGTTACATGAATAAATGCTAATTGTAAAGACATGTAAAATTGAATAAAAGTGAAGTAAATGGTTTCGACTTACAAAACAGTTAATATAAAGGATTTCTGGAACGTAAAAGGTTTGAAATATGAAGAAAACGTTTAATGCAAGAAATCTTTAAATGACTTTAAGTAAAAATATGCGTTCGAAGGATAAGACTTGAAGGTAAATGTATGGAAAATATGACAGTTTTCTGAGATATAAAGTGTTTGAAGTATGAAGAAAACGTTAAAATGTAAAACTTTGAAGAAGAGATTTCGAAGTGAAAAGACTGTAAATGAGAAAACTTGTAAATGTTATTTGACAAAAGGATAAAGGAAAGTGCTGGAAATGGTAAAGGTTTTCATTAAATCAGAAATACATGGTGCTATCATACATACATTTCTCTTGCATTCGTTTCCCTTGCCATGTGGTAGTTTGAATGTTACTGAGTATTTTGTATAATAGATATGACACACGAAATCCTAATACTAAGACTTATATTTATACTAATTCGACCATAACGGTCTTGCTATAGGATTATGCCACGTCTAGAACATGCAGGACAATGCCTCTTTCGTCTTTCCACGTGTCCCCAAATGCTCCAGCACATAACTTTCAAACTTCGAAAGTCCCGCTTCCATTTGAATTTCAAATGCTTTGGTACTTCTCCGTTTCGAATGCTCTTCCCAGACACAGCCTTGTTGTTATTTCGAGACTTCTTTAGATATGTTCCCATAATTGCCACTCGAAGCTCCAAGCTTTGACATACTTATTCGAAACACTGCTTCTGCTACTTCGAAACATGACGCTTTACCTCATTTCGATCAAAACGTTTAATTCATTTGGCTTCTAATAACATTATCAAAATCTTCAGCCAACAAATTGCCCCTTTAAAATATGTATTTCGATTCCTCTGAGAAATACCTATTTTAAACACCTACACAAGATTTTGATGGGACTTTCGAATCATCGTAACATTTAATGCACTTGACTCCAGTCACGTCAATCATAGCCCCTTTTGGATTCCTTAACCGCCTGGAGCCACTTCACAGCATGGTGCAGTTACAAATAATGATTATCTTTAAATCACGCCTATTACCCATGTTAACTTTACGCCACCTCTTCATCACACCAACCCATGATCTCCACGTATCACACCTTTATTCGGTGGATGCTTAAACTTCCCCATTATAAAACATCACAAACTTAATCTTTTCTTTTCTTTTCACATTCTAAATCTTTTACCCTCCTTCTCTCGTAAAAAAAAATCCAAGCTTTCAACATCTTTCAAAAATGTCTTCTTCTACTTCATCCCAACTCAAGAAAGTCTCCAAGAAGAAAGGAAAAACTGCAGGAGCTACCATGGAAAGTAAAATCATCACTCACCAAGGTCAACCCGTACTTGCCCCTCAGATGATTTCAAAAGAAAAAGAAATGATGTATGCGTCACAGGTACTCATTCCTACCAACGTTGCTGGTAAGAGGTTAGCTTTAAATGGCCCTCTTACGGTTTTTGAAATATTAAAAGACACCAGGACGATTTTCCCAGTTTGTTATAGCTTCAAACCCTTATTTAACAAAATGGACGCCCCTAAGGCAGTAGAATCTCCTAGTTCAAATACCATAGAAACCCCAACTGTTCCTCCTAAGGACCCCTTTGTTTTGGATTATGTAAAAAGTAATTTTAAGCCATTTCGATCTTGCCCCACCTCTGATATTGCCTATCAAAATTGGTTCACGAAAGTAGAAGCTAAGAAATCCCAGCAATGGGAAGAATTAGGCATCTATAACCTGATTAAGCTATCGAAGCCTGGTTTCACCTACAGCCACCCTCTGCTATTCGCGTCCCTTTATTTCTGGGACAGTACCTATAACACTTTCCATCTCCCAGGTGGAATGATCACCCCAACCTTCTTCGACATAGCGGCCATCACTGGGCTATCGCCAGTGGGAGAAACTTATATACCCGACAACAAAGAACACTCAAGCATAATTGACTTCGAAGTCAAGCTAGCCAGTTTTTCCAAATTTATCAGTCATTACCATGCTGAGGGGGACAATGTGTCTGACGTAGAGCACATTGCTTTCTTAACCCTGTGGCTGTCAAGATACGTTTTCTGCAGTAGATCCCTACAGGTAGCTAGTAGGTTCATTCCTCTAGCTAGGGACTTGCATGAAAATCGAAAAGTGTGCCTAAGTGAACTGCTCTTAGTTGACCTCTATGAAAGCCTGAGGTCAGCTGTTTCGAGCCTCAAATCCCACACCTCCAAAAATATTCTATTGGCTGGCCCTTTTTGGTTACTCCAACTATGGCTAAATGCCATGTTCGAACCCTCCTTATCAACCGCCAACACCATTGATGAGCAAGATTCTGAGATAAATGATAGGATAGTCGAAGGTACTAGGCTTCGAAAATTAACTCCCAATGACGACAAAGATGACTTCAAAGTTCAATTCTCGAAGTACATCATGATATTCTCCAAAAGGCACAAGTTCGAAGAGAGCATGGCGCCTTTTGCTTCGAGGGCTCATGGACCTTCTTGGTTCACCATGGCTCTCTCAGAAGCTATAAAGAGCAAGGAGATTCAGGATGTATGGAGAGCTTTTTTGCTGCCTAGACTTATTTCTTCAAGAATAACCCCAGCCAAGAACCA